ATCCTAGATTAGCTCTATCATAATGCTGAATGCTGTACAGTATATAATTTGGACATGGTTTTCCATTTTACTTGGTCCAAAGTTACAATTTTAAGTTAGTGAACTTAATTACTATAATTGCTTATATTGAGCTTCTTACACTATGGCATGTGTACTCTAATTATTCTAGTTTTCACTGTAAATGTTAAAGTCAACATGGTCAGTCCAGCACTGATTGACTGATTGATTGGTTTATGCTGTGAGCCTTCCTGATTGATTGAGAAAAATTTTGATGCGTCTTTCTGATGAGTTGACAGTTTTTGATGTGCAGGTCTACCTGATTGGTTGAGACAGTTTGCTGTGTAGGCTTTCCTGATTGGTTGAGACAGTTTTTGTTTTATTTCTATTTTTTTGTTGTGGACCTCTCTGATTGGTTGAGATAGTTTTCACTGTGAGTCTTTCTGATTGGTTGAATACTAGAGAGTGTTTGCTGTGGGTCATTCTGATTGGTTAGGATAATGTTTGCTGTGAGCTTTACTAATTGGTTGGGACCGAGGTTTTCCTTGATTTTGATTTTAATCATGAATGTCGTGAGATATTTCTCTGATGGTTTTGAATTTCCATTTCTCATTAATTACAACTTTTTCCAGCTTCAAATGATTTCTGAAACTAGGGTTTATTCATTGACCAGACTTGTTACGTATTTCCACTATATTCCTTAAAAACTGTTGTTATACCCACCATTATGATGGTCACACTGTAGGACTGATGTCACTGAGTGTAGTTTACATTGGCATTGGAACCTGTTAGGTAAATCTGTCACTCGCTGAATCTGATTGAAAACATCTCATTGAAGTTCCAGGGTTACACTTACGTATGTGTTCTTTGTATCACCTGTGGAATCTAATGTCCTGATAAATTAAGGGCACACAGTTACCTACATATGTATTTGATTGGTTTCAGGTAACTCACCAATTAATGTGAGGCTGATATATAGTTGTCCTCTGAATATTACAGGGGAGTCACACATTGCTTCAAATCCTTTGATCTTTCTGAGTGATTCTATTGATGTATATCCAAGGATGAACCTAGTCTACTTGTATCATATGAAAGGTTGAGCCTTCAATTTGTCATGACATTACAGGGGTGACAAGGATACATAACCACTAGAGTTCAGTGGGTTGTGAAAAAACATTTAAAAATATCTGTCTCTTCAAATTAAGGTTATAATTAAAGAGAATATCTTCCGTTTATATACTTTTCAACTCTTAGCACATTTTGGTTGTTGTTTTTACAATGATATGTAGAGGGTGGTCAGGTGGTGAAGTGGAAAGTGCACTTAATGCCTTTCACGAAGGCGGCCAGGATTCGTTTCCCTGATCGGACGTGAAAAAGTATCGGGTCACCTGCCCGACCACGCGGGTTTTCTTGGGGTACTCTGGTTTCCTCCCACGTTAAGACCCCGCGCGCTAATATCCAAGCCAACAAGAATGATTAATATAAGTTGAAATAACTTGTTTCATAATTGTTGTAAAATAAATAAAGATTACATATTATTAGAGGTTTTTATGATTACTACATGCTCTATATATCTCTGGTGGTCGGCCATGTGGCTGTAAGGTAAAGGTGGTTTTATTTTTACACTTCATTCATTTTCCAGCCAAGTGTCTATTATATTTTTTGATCAGTTACAGGATTTGTCTTCAAAAACAATATATCAGTTGTTGAATATATGTGTTAGCTGCACTGCCAATTATGTTTCCCTGCTATCCACATATCCATAGTCCGTTCCAAAGTCCCATTAAATGTCGCATGGATAACATCACATGATGAATTTTTAACGCTTGTGGAATCTCATAATCTGTTAATAATTACAACTGTATTATGAATATATTTCAGCGAAATCCAGCTGTCATTTTCCCTGAGGAGATTTAATTGATATATTTATGCAGTATTTGCAGATAACAAAAGATATTAAAATGATTTACATCACTCTGATGTTGCTTTAAAATCTACAATTAATCAACTAAAATATACATTTAATCAACGAATAATATACATTTAATCAACATGAATAGAAAGAATTAATTTGTGATAGAACACTGTTACTCATGGGATACAGCCTCTATAGACAGCTGTCAGTGCAATATAACTTCAATTATTTCAACGGATGCGTTCTAGTCTGGGTGTTTTTAGCAGGAAGTGTACCATCGATCTGTATTCCTGAGGTAAGCAATTGATGTACATCAAATTAAAACCAAAGCAAAGGCATTTTGCTTTTATCAATGGAGAAGCTGAGATTTCTCTTTAAACAAAACTTCCCTTCTGGTATTTCAATTGGGTCTTTTTTTCTCCTGAATTGTCAATTTCTTAATGCCTAGCTAAACAAAACATTTATCTCTTCAGTGCCGCAAGTCAAATCCATCCATCTTTAAGCTTAGTTAAGTGTATTGTGACTCAGACAGTATTTGTAGTCCAAAGTCACAAAGGCCAGGCAATGGGTCAAGGTCACCATTCAAATGGTAATTTATAGGGGACATTACTAGAGGATTGTATGTTTAATTTACCACGACTTTGTGTGTCTTTTCAGACCATGTTCATTGCTCAATAAACACCTTTTAAAGTAAATGGAACAGAGTCCCATTTAATTACTGTGCATTTCGTGATAAATTACAAATATTTCTAGTTTGTCTAAAATTGCATTTCTTTCCAAGACACTATACTGATGAAGTAATTGTCACTCACAGTGCAAGCTAACTCATTCATATTGCTGTTCAGTTCTTCTGAAAACAAATAACTTGATATTGACAAACACCCCAGAGAAAGCATCTCATATACCATGAAATCATTTTATTCTTTGTGACGTGTTATGAAATTCCTCCTATGGTTATTATAAAAGTGCATTTTTTTTTGTTTTGAAATTATTTGCTACTCTTCAAATCAACATCCATTTGTGTATTCACATTGACGTTGCTGAATCCCTACATACAGTTTATTTCATATTACATAAATGTATAGGTTCATGAAGATTAGTCAAAATTAATTAACAAAAATATGTCTAAACTCCATAATGTTCACTTTGATAGTTTGTAATAATGTCTATGGTATAGACATGTTTCCATAGACAATTGATATATTGGGTTAACTATAATAGTACAAAGTGTAGTTGGACAACAGGTTAACTATAATAGTACAAAGTATAGTTGGACAACAGGTTAACTATAATAGTACGAAGTGTAGTTGGACAACAGGTTAACTATAATAGTACGAAGTGTAGTTGGACAACAGGTTAACTATAATAGTACGAAGTGTAGTTGGACAACAGGTTAACTATAATAGTACAAAGTGTAGTTGGACAACAGGTTAACTATAATAGTACAAAGTGTATTTGGACAACAGGTTAACTATAATAGTACAAAGTATAGTTGGACAACAGGTTAACTATAATCATAGTACAAAGTGTATTTGGTCAACAGGTTAACTATAATCATAGTACAAAGTGTAGTTTGACAATAGGTCAACTATAATAGTACAAGGTGTAGTTGGACAACAAGTTAACTATAATAGTACATAGTGTAGTTGGACAACAGGCTAACTATAATAGTACCAAGTGTTGTTGGACAACAGGTTGACTATAATAGTACAAAATGTAGTTGGACAACAGGTTAACTATAATACTACAAAGTGTAGTTGGGCAACAGGTTAACTATAATAGAACAAAGTGTAGTTGGGCAACAGGTTAACTATAATAGTACAAAGTGTAGTTGGACAACAGGTTAACTATAATCATAGTACAAAGTGTAGTTGGATACCAGGTTAGCTATAATAGTACAAAGTGTAGTTGGACAACAGGTTAACTATAATAGTACAAAGTGTAGTTGGACAACAGGTTAACTATAATAGTACAAAGTGTAGTTGGACAACAGGTTAACTATAATAGTACAAAGTGTAGTTGGACAACAGGTTAACTATAATAGTACAAAGTGTAGTTGGACAACATTCACCTGTAGGGTGGAATAATCATATTTGGCAATTGCATTTATTTGTATAGGTATGCCTTCTTGTTAATTGTTCAGGTGTATTGAGTAACGGATACAAGTCCTGGGACATCACAACTGTTTCACCTGTAACAGGGCAGATCTGAATTCCTTTAAACAACAAATTTACTAAAAATGTACCTACATAGTATACTTGGTGAATAATGATTTGTCTCAATATGTTGGTTAGAGGTCAACCAGGCAATCAAGGCATGCCCATCACCAATCCTTCCAAATACCACACTGCAGAACCCAGGTCAGAAAACAGTCCTTCTTTCCACGATCAATATCTGATTGGAATAAGATCCCACCAGATATCATATCCTCCTGTTCTACTACTGAATCTTTTAAATATGCTCTCCTGTCACTGTACCCTCAAAATTTAATCTATATCATTTTGGCTTTCTCGGAATCGACTAAATCTCTAGACTCCCTCATGAAATTATCTTCAACTTGTTGAAAAAAAAGTTGGTCATTACCATTTAGATGAAGAATACAAAATGTACATGCAGGTCTGTGGTTTATCATCAAGCTGTGTTATCTGTTCATTTATGACTTTTAAACTGTGACACATCATTTACAAGTGGATTTCACCGAATTCAACTTTGTATCTTAAGAATATGTTTGAAACAAATATGACTGATGTCATCTGCAGCCCTCACCAGTAGTCAGCTGATCGTGACAATTATGTGGTTCAAAGTCCTTTAGTAGTCCTGAAGATCTTTTCTATTAAATAGCATCATATTAATGCAGTCCTTTTAAAGACATATTATTAATTAGACCAGTAATATATAATGTTGATCTGATAAAAATTCAAAATCTACATAAAATTTATTATACAATATAACAACATATTTATATATGGATAAATATACAGACAGTTAATCTTATTGTCCCACTTTTCATTTACTACCTTAACCTATTGAGAGGCTTTAACTTCAACTTTGTACATCAGTCAGCTATATATATATGTACATGTTTCAGCTTTAAAGTGCCTGTTAACTCAACGCCAGGGCCAGGTATGTATACTGCACACATTATTATTATGGGTGGTTGGGTGGCTTAGTGGATAATGCAATCGCCTTTCACCAAGGTGGCCGGGGTTCGATTCCCTGATCAGATGTGAAAAGGTGTGATTTCTTTTCTTTAATCTTGGGGTAGTTTATTTCAAGTAAACATACAGAGAAGTGAAAGAGGGGAGATTCTAAAGATCATGTACCATAAGTTGCTTCAATTTTCTGCTGAAAAATATTATTGTTCCCCATTGTTGGACATTAGTAATAGGTATTTCTGAACAGACTTTTGAACTTGGCCCACTGTCACTTCTAGCTATCTGTGCATATTAAGTGTCACAGTAGATGCGGTAACTTAATTTCATCCCAACCCGAGTAGATATTGAGGTGTGCGGTGCACCTCGGCTGTGCATGCCTACACTTCCGTATCTATAATTTGTATTGATGAATGACAAGTACCCTGGTATTCCGTAGACATGTTATTAATATGTCTAGTTGTGATTAACAGACTCACATCATGTACACAGCATGTATGTTACTGATAGAGTATATCACATGTAGATATGGGGGATATAGAAATTCTAGCTACCCTAGCTGAGCTATGAACTTGGGTCAGGACCATAAGGTATTGCTGAAATTCTTACCCCAAATTCTACACCAAAGGATCAAACTACCATATACCACACATCTACCTAGTGATTATCTTTTTTCTCCCAAATCATACCCAATTTTGTGGTAAATGACCTCAATGAAAATACAAATCTACACTAAATACCTGGTACAAAGAATTTTTTAGAAAACGTAACATGGAAATTAAGGCCATATTTGTAAATAATAAATAATAATAATAAGTTGAGGTTCTTATATACCGCTTTATCACAACCTGGTTCGTAGGTCGTCTCAAAGCGGTTCACAAATTGTTATCTGTGGTTTTAGGGCCTTTGCAACTAGCCAGTACATTTCTCAACCCCCTGGGGAGCATACAGCCGGAGCTGCCATTTCGGCGCTAACAGCTAGCATTCAACAATTCTAGCACTGCCCAACCACATACTTATTTACAGCTGAGTAGACTGGAACAAGCGGAGTAAAGTATCTTGCTCAAGGATACAACACATTGCCGTGCCGTGGCGCGAACCCGCAACCCTTCGGTCACGAGCCCGGCGTCCTACCACTGGACTACCGTGCAGAATGAACATATTTCAAGATTACAGCATGCAAAATCTTGTTAAAAAGTTCATGAAAGACATTTTATATACATGAGGATACAGGTTTCAATTACTGACTGCTAGGATTGCCATCGTAACATATCACCATCTGAATCTGACCTCATAGTACTGAGTGCAACCATGAGGGATACATGCATCCTTCATGAGTAGGCCATATGGAACACATGTATCTTACATTCACAAAGCTTGTAGAAATGTATGTCATTGATGAAAATCTGAAACACAAGTTAAAGTTTTCCGTGTATACGGTAGTGGTGTATAAGCTACAGACAAGGATGTAGATTTTACATGTAGACAGATGTATATCACTGTCTTTTAAAACTTTGTAGACTGTATGTCATTATTACATAGACTCATCCTACTGGAGGTAAGTTTGAGTGATTTAACCTCATCATTATGAAACAGTGTGAGGTCTCCAATGTTTCTGTCCCATCTGTATGTCTGTCTGCCTGTCTGTTTGTCTATATGCCTGTCTGTCCCATCTTTATGTCTATATGTCTATCTGTCCCATCTCTATGTCTGTCTGTCTGCCTGTCTGTTTGTCTATATGTCTATCTGTCCCATCTGTCTGTCTATATGTCTATCTGCCCCATTTGTCCGTCTATATGTCTGTCTGTCCCATCTCTATGTCTGTCTGTCTGTCTGTCCCATCTCTATGTCTGTCTGTCTATCTGTCCCATCTCTATGTCTATATGTCTATCTGTCCCATCTCTATGTCTGTCTGCCTGTCTGTTTGTCTATATGTCTATCTGTCCCATCTGTCCGTCTATATGTCTGTCTGTCCCATCTCTTTATCTGTCTGTCTGTCCCATCTCTATGTCTATATGTCCCATCTCTATGTCTGTCTGTCTGCCTGTCTGTTTGTCTATACGTCTATCTGTCCCATCTGTCTGTCTATATGACTATCTGCCCCATCTGTCCGTCTATATGTCTGTCTGTCACATCTCTTTATCTGTCTGTCTGTCCCATCTCTATGACTATATGTCTATCTGTCCCATCTCTATGTCTCTCTGCCTGTCTGTTTGTCTATATGTCTGTCTGTCCCATCTGTCCGTCTATATGTCTGTCTGTCCCATCTCTATGTCTGTCTGCCTGTCTGTTTGTCTATATGTCTATCTGTCCCATCTGTCCGTCTATATGTCTGTCTGTCCCATCTCTATGTCTATCTGTCTGTCTGTCCCATCTCTATGTCTATATGTCTGTCTGTCCCATCTCTATGTCTATCTGTCTGTCTGTCCCATCTCTATGTCTATATGTCTATCTGTCCCATCTCTATGTCTATCTGCCGGTCTGTCTGCCCCATCTCTATGTCTGCCTGTCTGTTTGTCTATCTGTCTATCTGCCCCATATGTCTGTCTATATGTCTATCTGCCCCATCTGTCTGTCTATATGTCTATCTGTCCCATCTCTATGTCTGTCTGCCAGTCTGTCTGCCCCATCTCTATGTCTGCCTGTCTGTCTGTCCCATCTCTGTGTCTATATGTCTGTCTGTCCCATCTCTGTGTCTGTTTGCCTGTCTGTTTGTCTATATGTCTATCTGCCCCATCTGTCTGTCTATATGTCTGTCTGCCCCATCTTTATGTCTATATGTCTGTCTGTCCCATCTCTATGTCTATATGTCTGTCTGTCCCATCTGTATGTCTGTCTGCCTGTCTGTTTGTCTATATGTCTATCTGCCCCATCTTTATGTCTATATGTCTGTCTGTCCCATCTCTATGTCTATATATCTGTCTGTCGCATCTCTATGTCTGTCTGCCGGTCTGTTTGTCTATCTGTCTATCTGCCCCATCTTTATGTCTATATGTCTATCTGCCCCATCTGTTTGTCTGTTTGTCTATATGTCTGTCTGTCCCATTTTTATGTCTATATGTCTGTCTGTCCCATCTCTATGTCTGTCTGCCCCATCTGTCTGTCTATCTGTATATCTGTCCCATCTTTATGTCTATATGTCTGTCTGTCCCATCTGTTTGTCTGTCTGTCTATCTACCCCATATTTATGTAGATCTATCTGTCTGTCCCATCTGTATGTCTGTCTGTCTGTCTTTCAAACACTGTGATCATTTTTGTGGTTGTATGATGAAACTTCTCAGGTATATAAATGTCTGAATGTGGGCGTGATCACCAAAAATGTCAAGGTCCCTGTTACTTTTCAAAGAACTTCACTGTCACACACCATGTAATTACTGTAGCGACCACATCTTGACAGATTAAGTTGAAGTGATTAATTGAAAATGGTAAGTCATTCATTATAAAAACAATCTATAGTCAGAAACATTGTATAGGAGTTAAATGTATACAACAATGTTCTAACATAGTTAATTCTTTTTAACAAAGCTTGGTGTACAAGCACACACTAAAACTCGTTGTTGACAAATAAGTTTACCAAGTGCACATTGGACACTGTCAAAAAAAAAGTCAGTCAGAATTTTTGGCGGTTGTTTAAATCCCCAAAAATCTTAATCCAGACATTTTCTGACGTGTTGACATTCGTGAAGTTGAACTTTATCAGAAATGTGTTTGAATGAAAGAATATTCAGAAAATATTAGATAATATTTCATTAGGTGCATTAAGTATTTTCCAGATGCGAATGAAATACAAAATCTGTTGATTGGTGATGTATTGGCGATCACAAATCAATATTTTGTATACAATACATGCATAAGGGTGTACTTTGCATAATTTGAATTGATAACATGAATTATAAGTGAGTTGAAACTTGACAGCTTAAAAGTGATAGATGTCTGTCTAACATTACAATATGTTAATTATCCCCCCTACCCCCTAAACAATCCTTTTTGTTCTTTTGTCACTGTTGATGTATTTGTAAACCAACTACAATTGTGCAAAGAAGTAAAAAGGAGAGGACTTTCCAATTTTGTATGCATGTATATACCTCTTTGAATGTCAGGGTAGTGACAGAAATCAGGTCTTGTGTCCTACAATATACAGAGTTATGGCCCTTTGTTTAGTGTAATGTGGTTTTGTTTGTGACCTTCTCCGTCCGTAATCAGTGACATGTATCACGTACACCATTGAACTGATATCAGTTAGCAAGCATTCAGTGCCAGGATTTCACATGTTCTCTCTAAGATTGGAAGTCACACCATCAGTGAAATATTCCTGACCAGTATTCTGACAGTAAAGTAACAAAATTCCAGAATTGTGTATCTGTTTAGATTTTCGATATGTGGCCTGTTAACCAGCGTGCCAGACTTACCGAAATGTTTGTGGTATTGTTTACTTTTATGTACTTAAGTGGATATCATTTTGTGTTTTGGGATTTAACATTATATAATACATCTATAACATGAGGTAAGTGTAGCTTATTATTTTTTACCTGAGTAAATAGCTTTCCGTTTTGAGTTTTGATATAGGAGGCCTCAACAACAGAAAGTCTTATGATATCTTTTAAAAATAACATGCAATAATTAGTACATTTGGCATGTTTTCAGACCATTATTATAGAGAAAAACATTCAACTTCTGCAAAATAAAAGGACTGTATACCTGAATTAACAGTCAAACTACTGCTCTGCTGTGTCTATAGACCCACTAACAAATAGCATCATAACATAATGATGTATTGGTTGTGTCATGGAAGCTCAATGAAATCTCTAGATTGAATTTTCTATGTGACAAATGTTCTCATAATGGGTTGTCCTATCAACAGGGAAATTCTCTTTTCCTTTATTGATACATGGAACTTGTCAAATATTGAGGTCATAAAAAATGTTTCACATTTCTGCAAACTAAATCAGACTAATACATCAAGGTGTTAGT